GACCTGTAAACTGCGCTTCAATACAGCTTTATGTAAGAAAGGATGGTTAGAAACCTGTCTGATAGCCAATTAGCCTGTATAGGTCAAAAAGAATTTCTGAGGTAGCACTCACAAGTATGCAGAAAATTTTTTTCTTCTGCAAATAAAAAAAAATTTTAGTAATAAAATGTCCAGGTCATATTCTATCAAAGAAATGAATCCGACATAGAATTTGTCAATGGATTTGTGACAGCAACAGACTTAAATTACTACTAAGATACTGTGGGTGGAAGCTGATATGTATGCTAAGAAACAGGAGCTCAAGTGTTTCATATGATTAAGTGTAAATTTATTGACTTATACACATTAACTGCTTAGAGTGATACAGGACAGAACGTTCTACTTTTGTGAAAAAATACAGCTCTGTTTTCAGTGTGTTTGTTAATGGCCTAACATTTACATATCTATCATTTACGTTAATGTCACTCACTAGATTAATTTGGCTAAACCTGTGCAATTTGAGTAAGCCTATATGGAGAACTTTTTTTGGTTTTGGATCATCACTGCAGTTGATCAGTAGCTATGAAACTGTAAAAAAGCATCTGTTGTAGATCAAAACATTTTCATAAGTGAAAAGTTATTAAAATAAATATAATTAACCTTACAACGTGATTGTAGGTAGAGAGATCATATGTATAGATTTTATTCTTTTATCCAAAATGAATGCTGCAAGTGTAATTCCAAAGATGACATTGCTTCCATTAGATGCACTGTTGATCCAGCTTTTTTGTGTTCTATACAGTTTGCCTTTGCAGGGTCAGATGGGCTTTATCACAGTGTGGAATTTCAATGGTGGATGCTGAAGCACAGACAAGAAATTTTATTGCCTATCACTAAGATACTAAGTTTGACATGATCTCAGTTACAGACAGGATACAGATTTTATAAACTAAGAAGATATGATTAAACACCATTCATTTAATTACCATCTGCATTTAAATAAATCCAAACATTATGAACCAGACCTGACCATTCCAGTGCAAAATTTCTTGCATCTGATACAACTTGTCCATGTCTTGTAATGTGTATCCTTTTACCTAGGGTTATGTGGTCACATACAAGAAACGTTCCCACAGAGATATGTGGAAATGCTAAGCATTTATACTGAAAACTGAGATCATCCTTAAGACAAGGAGGTTTGATGTCACATATTGAAAAGTCATCTGTGTATCCAAAGGACTTCAGTTTCTCCATTGTTGTACAGTTTCTTAGCCCCTCGTTTCTCTGATATCATAACCTGTATTGTTATGGTACCTGGGAACCTCCTCCATGGACAGTTTCCACTAAAACGAAGAGAAAGCCGTTTTACGTAATATATTCCGACTCTGATGTATCAGGAGGTCAAAGTGAAGGAAGCAAGTCCTCTGATCTTGTATAATAAGTGCTGTTTGTATTTATGACATTATAACCTATCAGAAATGAATCTGCTGTTTTCACCAGCTTCTACTTAACTCCAGAAGGAATAACATTAAGCAGTGGCAGTAGTTGTTAGGTATAATGCAATATAAAGGCATCAGAATTTGATCCATATGTGTAGTGTCAGTATTAACAGGATGATATATTACAGAACAGATTTTATTCCAGTTTTGAGACTGAGGAATGAAATGAAAGCTGTGATATTTTTAACTGTGAATATGTGATCAAAATGTACTCTGGATATTCACAGAAGTTCTTTTTCAATCTGTAATTGCATTATATTTTTAAAAAGATGTGGTTATTAATTCATTGAACAGAATGCATTGTCAGAGACTTTAAAATAAATGTATCATTGTATATATAGAATATCTAGGCTTGAAATGCTAACCAGAATTGGAAGTCAGTTTTTGTATGCACTTTCCTCCTCTCCAAAAAAACAGAAATCATATGAAGTTTCCCTCTTGTAATTCACTCCTGGTATTTTGTCCTGACCTGGCACTGTAAAAGTGTGGTCTAGCATCCAGTTTACAGCTACTTAACTCCACTGAATCCTTTTAACTACCAGCAGAGATATGCTGATGGAAGTTGTTTGTTTTTTTTTTCTTCTTCTTTTTAGTGAACATGCTTTTACACATATTTTAGTACCTTTTAAAGTAGCTTAGAAGATTTTTTTATTTCTGTCAATCTGTCTTTTTTTTTTCTCCTAAGGTTCCCATTTAGTTCCTGTGTAAGAAAGCTAAAGGGAAAGCAAAGGAAGATTAAATATGGCTTTGGAGTTATGTTTAGTATGAAATGCTCTGGACCAAACGCTTGTATCCATACCACTATAAATATGGAAAGTTTATTGAGTGAATGGATGTACTTCAGTCATACCACAGTAATGAATACCAGAATTTGGCTCTACAGTTTTAAATAATGCAAGTTACATGTTATTTCAGGTCTTGAGATGTTACACCATTTTTTTTTAATGCTTTATCTCCTTTACTTTTGAAAACCAGGAGCTTATGCTGGAGCTAAATGATTAACAGTTCGGTACCTTGAAAGATACTAGGACACTAAAGTTCCCATCTCACAAAATTCTGTTGTCTAAAAAGGGTTTTTTGAAGAATTCTCCTTTGCCATTCCAGAAATTCCTGTACTTTCAAACACTTCTCCTCTGGCTACTACTGTATAGTCTGTCAGCGGCAGTGAAAATTGCACATGTCTCTGACCTTTTTTGAATCAAGGACATAGGCTGTTGAACTTTGGACTGTAGTATTTAGTGAGAAGAATGATCCTCTGAAGTTGATTCTCTATAGAATCATAGAATGAATCAATCAATGCTGCTGTTTGAAACTCTGCATAATTATTTGGCAATATACAATCATACAGATTTTTAAATAAATGTTACCTGTTTTCAGCTGGGACATGGCAAAACAGCTGTGGGACTTCCAGGCCTGATACATCGCCGTTGAAGTACAGGATCTGGGAATTTGATAAGACTCAAGGCCCAGGTTAAATAATGAGACACACAAGAATGTTATGGAAATATTTATGTGGAAGAGGCACAAACTCAGGCTGTTTACGGACTGAATGATATGTAGGATTCTACCAAAAGCGAATTTTTGTAAAGAAGCATGTTAAGTCTTACATATTCCTGCCTGGTTTGTCTAAAGACTTCTGAAGAACTTTACTTTTTAACCATTGTCTCAAGTGGCTATATGAAATCTTTCATATAAGTTAGGGAAGCAGTTTCTGTTTCTTGTAATCTGTAACTATTTAGTGAGTCAGCCATGTTATCACTGGAGATAGACTAATTACCTTTTTTTGTGTAAGTTTCTTAATATAATTTGTCATAGAAATGACAATTTATATGTCTAGAAATCCTTGTAAACTGACTAGTGTTTTTGCTACTTACATTTTGTGAATCACAGTTTGTGGAAATAAATGTCATCTATGTACTATTAACAAAATGTTTGTTCTAATTATTTGGAATTTGTGCTTTGAAGATTCTTCTCTTCTGTTATTGTTCTGGTTCTTGTCTGGAAGTTTTTTAGCAGCAGAACTAGCAGGGAGTAATGAATAATTTTGTTTATGGAAGAATACTCTCCCAGTCAGCCAGGCAAGGAACAGCCATTATTCTAAAAAATAATGAAGAATCTGGTACAAATTATAGAAAAGAGCAAAGGAAAAAGGAATGTAGCAGTGGTTGACTTCTACAGCAACTTGGAAATTTTACTAATATTTCCAGTGACTGGTTCTACATTACTGGTTGAAACTATTATAGGCACTGCAAAAATAGCCATTGGTTACCAGAAAAAAAGCGTGACAGTTCCTTCAGTATGGGGGTAACTTTAGAATTGTGTGGAATACCTATAGAAAGTACATTATATCCATTAAAATTATTTAATCAGTACTTAGCAGAGAGGTAAGACTAACATTTCAGATTTTGCACACCTTAAATTTTTCTTCTGAGAATGTTTAAATATAATTTCTTGAATCTGCACAATATGTAGATTTTAAGTAAATGCAGGTGTATACTGTAGCATTCATTCTAAATGTATTAACTTGCAACAAACGTTGGCTATTGGATTCTTATTTGATAACATGTTCTGATGGAAAAAGGAAATGGTAAAGTGCATGATGTGAAAAAATTAAAGTAGTTCACAAGCATTTTCTCCTGAATATATTCTAAGACAGAAGAAGTTATGTGCACTCTAGGCTGAATGAGAAAACCTCAGATTTTGTTTTTAAAAAATATACTTTTGATGTTATTCAAAGATAGGTTTAACCACAAAGTTGAATTCTTCATATCAGTGAATGCCAGGACATTGGTAGGATGCTCTAGTTAAACTTAACTTTGATCACATCTGTCATTGATAGAAGTGACTTCCAAGATACTACAGTGACAAAAAAATAGCAACACTACCTAGAACTGTACAAATAGTAAGAAAAGAAGGCAGAGATGTTTCCATCAGTGACTTCAGTTAAAATATTCTCTCTGTTATTACTCATTTTATGTAGCAACAAATACCAACTTAAGGCCCAGAATTCACTATGTGTGAATATTGAACTATTTGAACAGCTATGTGCAAACAACAAGAGTGTAAAAACATAGGCAAAGTCATGTATTTGGTAAATCTGCCGCTTCTTCATGCCATCGAACTGCACTGTGGCATTAACTAACTTTGCCTATCACTTCTGAATCTTTTGTGCAAACTTTTAAAATCCATTCTCACTCATTAAAAGAATGTGTTGTAGTTTCAACCACCAAGATTCTCTGCGTTTGGGAAACGAATTTTCTGTGTGTAGTCAAGTAGTTTGAAAATCTGATCATAACAATTCCATTGGATGGGATGAATTCTTATATACTTAAAAATGAATAATCCTGTTAAAATAACGTTCTGGTGTAGGAGTGATCATCAATAAATCAAAATAGGATGCAGCTACTGCTATGATTATACATATGCTTTTGCAATAACATTAATGTCCTTTTTAGAGGCTGTATATTGTAGAGATGCAAGATGAGTAATTCTTTTTGTTGTGGGTTTTTTTTTTTCTTTGTCAGCTGAACCCGTTGATGTGCTAAAAGCATTAGAATTTCACAATTCACCAGAAGGAGTGTCAAGAACAGCAGGATTTTGCACAAACAGAAGGGATTCAAAAGGATCGGATGTCGCCTACAGAGTTTCAAAAACTGCACAGCTGAGTGCCCCAACAAAGCAGCTGTACCCAGGTAAGATTGTCAGAAAGCTATTACTTTGGTAAACTATCTTATTGCCTACGTTTTTATGGTGTCTGAAGCACAGCATGTAGTCCATTGTCAGTACCACAAAACACTTCTGTCATCCCTAGAGTTGGGCCTTCACACGACCGGCAAGACAGCCTCTTTATCCACTGAATGAATCATTTTTTATCAGCTTCAGTTATAAAGCTCTTCATCAAATTCTGTTTCACTGGCAGAATTGGCCTGCAAGTCATAATACGTGTTCTTTCATGATGCTATCTGATGGAAAGCTTATTTTGTGGCTTTGGCAAATTTCCTGCAGTTTCAGTAGTCCATTTAAAAGGAGTACTTCCTGGAGTAATGCTGCAGTGGTAGAAAAGAGTTGTGGTTGACCATTGCAAAATCCTTCCCAGAAGTACCATCTATTAAGAATTAATTAAGAGTATCTGGGTATTTGGGGGACTAAACAAGGCTAGTTGTGGATAGAATCATAGAATCGTAGAATGTTTTGGCTTGGAAGGGACCTTAAAGGCCATCTAGTTCCAACCCCCCTGCCATGGGTACGGACACCTTCCACTAGACCGGGTTGCTCAAAGCCCCGTCCAGCCTGGCCTTGAACACTTTCAGCGCGGGGGAAGCCACAGCTTCTCTGGGCAACCTGTTCCAGGGCGTCACCACCCTCATGGTAAAAAAATCCTTATATCTAGTCTAAATCTACCCTCCCTCAGTTTAAAGCCATTACACCTTGTCCTGTCACAACAGGCCTTGCTAAAAAGATTGTCCCCATCTTTCCTATAGGCCCCCTTCAGGTACTGAAAGATTGCTATAAGGTCTCCCTGCAGCCTTCTCTTCTCCAGGCTGAACAGCCCCAACTCTCTTAGGCTGTCCTTGTAGGAGAGGTGCTCCAGCCCTCAGATCATTTTGGTGGCCCTCCTCTGGGCCCGCTCCAACAGGTCCATGTCTTTCCTGTGCTGAGGGCTCCGGAGCTGGCTGCAGGACTCCAGGTGGGGTCTCACCAGAGTGGAGCAGAGGGCCAGAATCACCTCCCTCAACCTGCTGGTCACAATTCTTTTGATGCAGCCCAGGATACAGTTGGCCTTCTGGGCTGCAAGCACACACTGATGGGTCATGTTGAGTTCCTTGTCAACCGGCACCCCCACGTCCTTCTGCTCAGGGCTGATGTCAGTCCATTCTCCGCCAAGCCTATATTTGTGCTTGGGATTGCCCCGACCCATGTGCAGGACCTAGCACTTGGCCTTGTTGAACTTCATGAGGTTTGCACAGGCCCACCTCTCCAGCCTGTCAGGGTCCCTCTGGATGGCATCCCTTCCCTCGAGTGTGTCAACTGCACCACACAGCTTGGTGTCGTCGGCAAACTTGCTGAGAGTGCACTCAATCCTGCTGTCCCTGTTGCTGACAAAGATGTTAAACAGTGCTGGTCCCAGTACAGACCCCTGAGGAACACCACTCGTCACTGGTGTCCCCTTGGACATTGTGCCATTGACCACAACTCTTTGAGTGTGACAATCCAGCCAATTCCTTAGCCACTGAGTGGTCCATCCATCAAATCCATGCCTCTCCAATTTAGAGTCAAGAACGTCATGCAGGACACTGTCCAATGCTTTGCACAAGCCCAGGTAAATGACATTAGTTGCTCTTTACTTATCCACCAACACTGTAACCCTGTCATAGAAGGCCACCAAATTTGTCAGGCTTGATTTGCCCTTAGTGAAGCCATGTTGGCTGTCACCAATCACCTCCTTATTCTCCATGTGCATTAACATAGTTTTCAGGAGGATCTGCTCCATGATCTTGGCAGGCACAGAGTTAAGACTGACTGGCCTGTAGTACCTAGGTAATGTGATTCCAAGTTCTCTCAAATTTCTCTAAAATGAAATAATCACATTTTGGAAAAGATTATTTGGATGTTGAGGAGAGAATTTTATTCCATTGTTTTGCTGCCACTTGTGACTTGACCCAAGCTGTTGAGGAAAATGATAATAAGAATATTAAAAACCAAAATTGTGGAACAACTAATTTTTCTGCTTTGATACATCATGCAGAGTTTGAACAAGTCTGTCTATAGACACACAGATTAGATGATGCCAAAGAAAAATGCTTTCTGTCTTTTAAAGTAACAATCGTATAGATATCATTCAAGATCTATAAAAAGGGGAAACATACCTTATTTTGTAGTAATACTGGGTTCCCAGAGCAACACGGGCAACAGCTATACACAGTTCAAGCGTAACTTACATGTTGCCTTGACTCATCAGTTTACTTCTTTATTCCTGGGAGATCAAAGCAAAATTCACTACAGAGGTAACGTTTATATTATTTATCGGTTTTTAATATATCCTTCCAACTAAGTTGCGCATAGTTGACAGAACTATCCAGCTGAAAATATCATTCACTGAATGGCGCATTACTGTCTACAATGTCTTGCTGATATTAGTGTGACTATGTGTGTAATTAATCACTACTTCACCTAAGTAAGGTTAGCAGAATAAGGGCTGCTCTTTCATTAAAAAATGCAAAAATGATCCATTGTATTGAAAAGCTGCACAAGTTGCACAGTGTAATAAGTTGACACCTTCAAATTCTGAGTTTTACAATGTATGTCAATGAAGCCAAGTGGTACAACAAAATACATTAAATGAGCATTCAAATACAACTGGACAGAAGATTAAACTGACTTGGAATCACAGAATTTTTTATAGTTTAGAATAGTACAGGCAGTACAAGCCTGAAAGTCTAGAGCTGGAAGTCAGAGAGCTTGAGCTGACTTGCACTTGTTCATGAATCAAATCGTAGCGTAAAGAGGAGATCTGCAGCTGCAGTAATAACTTTTCATATGCTTCTTGAATGCCAGAACAAATATGTACCTCATGTTGCTGATTGACATCTACATTACTACAGCCTTTGACTGCCTTCATTTAGGTACACTTCTTATTAATGCTTTCAGTTTCTGCTTTACAGCTGGAATGAGTTTGCTTGATTTTACCAATCTGTTGCACCACTTCTGTGTGCAGGAGACTAATAAAAAGCGTTGTTCACTCACAGTGTAAACAGAAGCCACCACAAAACTTTACTTAATGCAGGAAAATGTAATGCTATCCACTACTTCAGTAAAGAACCTAGAAACAATTTTTTTGGAGGTGATTATGGTAATTGTTTCCTTTTGAATCTTGCGGAACAGGCATCCTTTCCCCACCACCAGAAATCCTTCTTTTTAAGAGATTATTCTTAAAGATGTTTGAGTGATCATGTCCTTTTTTCTTAGCACTCTGTAGTAGTGAAAAGACTACAGAAGATATCCAAGACAAGGCCAAGTTGTGAGACATCATTTTGGCTAAACAATACAAGTTGTAATGCATCCTATGCTTGCTTTCATCTAACCTCTGTAACTCATCAGGAAGTATGGTTAGCTTTTACCTACCATATCTCAAAGGCTGCTATGAATGGTAAAAGCTGGGATCATCAATATATCCGTCTTTAAAAAACAGATCTAATAATATTTACCAACTTCCCAGAATTTGATCGGCATTGATTTCATTGACTGGAAGGCATTATATAATTGTAAAGATAACCACTTAGATTTTTGTTATACTATCTGTTTATAAGCTTTTAGTTATCTTTTACAGATCATATAGGAATGACAGGAATGGCAACCCAGATATATACAAAGATTTTTCTAGCGATTTTCCCTCCAATTGTTACTGTTATTTTTGGTTATTGTTCAAATAGAACCATACCAATAAACAAGAAAATTAAGAATAGTTGAGAAGACTTTGATAACTATTCCAACTATGTGTCCAAGAGCTACATAAACATATCAAGACATAAAGTTTTATGTGTTGGAATGTCATTCATTTTTTCACTTTTTCAATCAAAACTGTGTTTGGAAGGAATTTACTTATAATTACACAATGTAGGTGCAAGATAAAACATTTGAGAATATTATGTCATAGCAGTGATAACAAACTACTGAACTGAGGCACATGACTCATTTTCAGTCACTTTTCTTAGAAAGCTCCCAGATTTTTTTTCATAGGATTTTATTTGTTTGAAGAGCACATGCCCAGACTAGCTGAATTAGTGTCACCTGCCTTAAGCATTTTCAACGTATCTTTCAGATTAGCAGTACAGACAGGGCAAGTGTTCAGTGTTTTTCAAATAATTTCTTTGGCTTTTGCTGACAGTCATCTTTTCTCTTCCTCTTTTTGTCATCTGTATAACATACAGTTCTGTAAACTAGCAGCTTTACTTTATTAAAAACTTGACCAAAGGCTCACCAGAGTAAATGAAATGCTTCCTATTTTTTGAGCGTTGATCCCTTCAAAATAAGATGTCATAGCAAGCCCTAAAGTGGTCTATGTTACTAGTGTTTCAACAACCTTCTACAATAAAGGTTAAAAAGATGGTAGAAAGCACATAAAACAACATTGCAGCAGGCAATATAATAAGTGCAGCACTAGGGATTTTCTGTGTTAGAAGGGTAGTATGTTGTTTAAGGAGCAATGAAGATTTTATGCATTTTGTTTTCATATTGTAACTACAGAGTTAATGCTATCAAAAGCTTGTCTTCACAGAAGACTCTGTAGAATCCTGAAGTTTTCCACAAGACCTGTCCTGGAAAAATAGTATATTTGCTCCATTGGAAGAAACAATCCCTAAATCAGCTTTTGTTGTTGAAGTCTTACATACTTTTATTCATTACAAAAATGTAACTTATTTTATTAAAACTTATTGTATGATGTTATTAAAATCTTTAAAAAGATTTTACATGCTGACATGCACACAAAGTTGCAGTTATATTCATAGCCAACACTACGATTAGATTCTAATTCCTCTATTTGTTTCATGTGAAGTTGCAGCTGAAGCCACACAGATCCAATGTATATTCTGAATTCTAGAATCTTAGTCTTACACTTCATTTGTTATTAAGCCTAATAGACTTTCACATCAAGTGAAATGCAGATTTACCACCAGATTTAACAGGAGCAGTACTGAGTATAAACCTCAGTCTGTCCTTTATAAACAAGCTATATTCACCTTTCATTTTTGTTTATTTTTAGTTGTAAAGGTTGAAACAATGATTGATATATATCTTTACTTCAAAGGGAAAACATCAGGGAATAAATGAAAATTAACTGCGGTTTGATTTTGCCTAAAGGTCCTATTATATAAAACTAGTTATGTATTTTTTTTCAATGTTATGCACAATATTATTCTAGAAAGACTCAAATACATATTGGGAGAGAGAAAGTAAAACAAGTGGTTATCGAGGCAGATGAAGTGCCTAGGATCTTATTTGCTATAATACAGATACTTATTTTTTCAAGTGAAATTGTAGTGCATGCTTTTACATTAGAATGTTGCTAAAAAGAAGATGAATATAAAAAATAATAAATGTGAATCTATCATGGTTCTTGCATATATTTTATTGTAACATAATTTCACAATAGATTTACAAGTCATGATTTTAAGAACCATGAATAATATATCTTTCAGGAATTAAAGCGAGACCAGAAAGAAAGAGATAAAAAAATTTCCTAGTGTAATTTTTTATGTATTCATTTTTGAGAATTAAAAAACCCCAACAGTTTGTATGCAGGATCCTCTGTGCTTATAGAAAAACGTAAACCTTTGAAGAATAGTTTAATTTTTTCTGAATTTGTAACTCCATATATCACTTTGTTTACAGGTGGAGATTTTCCAGAAGATTTTTCAATATTAATAACAGTAAAACCTAAAAAGGGTATCCAGTCCTTCCTTTTGTCTGTCTACAATGAGCAAGGAATTCAGCAAGTAGGTGTTGAAGTTGGTAGATCCCCTGTCTTCCTGTTTGAAGACCAAAATGGAAAACCTGCCCCAGAAGAGTATCCTCTTTTCAGAACAGTCAACATTGCTGATGGCAAGTAAGTGTAAAATTTTAACATGAAAAATAGTACCACAGAACACTGTATAGGTGATTATGGTCTTTCCAAGTGATACCTTAAATATTTAAATGAATCAGTAACACAATTTCCAGCTAGTTGGACTGCTGTGGTACAAAATCAGAGAACCTTTGCAGCAGAATACAGTTCCAGCTTCAAATGGTGTATACAGCTACAAATAAAGCCAAACCACCTTTCTTATTTGCCATCTCTATAAATCAAGAGGGAAGAAATAGTCATAGAAGTTAAACCCACCACAACTAAACCTATGAAGATTCTTCCTCTGCAATATAGAAAGAAACTCTGTTTTTAAAGCAGCTCGAGGAATAGTCTCACTAGAAGGGATGTCTTGTCCATTTGAAGGTGATAGACATAGTGAAAGCAAGTTGACAAAACAACACAGAATTTCTTGTATCCTGAACCAAACTATCAGATAAATAACATGGTTTGAGATGTCTACAGATAAGGAAATCAAGGAAGAATAAGCTGGACAATTAATCTGAAATGTTACAAGGACTTATACTGCACCCTCAGTAAAGGCCATTAATCTCAAATACCTATTGCGTTATTAATGCAGTTGTTAATTTTTTGTACCTAACTTCCCTTTGTAGACAAGCAATCATTCTCTGGGAATGTCATTCCAGTGCTTGTAAATGGATGTTTGTTGTTTCAAAAGCTTTTTGTTTGTTGTGCTGCAGTCCAGGAAGAGCAGCCACAGTCTTCAGAGATACAGGGAATGAAATTTTATTAAAGCAAAAGAATACAAATCAGTAGAGAAGGAATGAAATATGTTTATAAAACAATAAAGGAGAAAAGAAAAAAATAATTGTCTTCTAGACCTTGTATTACGAGAGCATGGAATTATACCATGACACCTAAATCTGATGCATTTCCTGAGTAAGAGTGATAAAATAAAGCAGCAAACTTTTTTTTTCATTGAATTCCTCTAAATAACAAAGCTTTGACGTGGATTTCAGAATTTCACCAGAAATGCTGAGAAACTGATAAAAATGAAGAAATCAAAATGAACTTGGTTTGGTACAATTTTCTGCAGTGAGACGATACAATTTATAAATCAGCTGAAGTCAGTCCTATCCCCAGTGAGCTGTGTTTTCATGCTTTCAGCTTCTACATGCTTTGAAAAGATAGGCCGATGATTTTCTTCTGACTTAGCTGTTTTATGAAGGATCTAGGATAACAATCTTCGTCCAAAATGAGATATATTTAGAAAGTGTAATGTGCCTGAGGATGCATGGACAGTTTACTTTTCTAATGATAATGTTCTACTGTGTTCCAAAGGAAACATGGAATTAGAGTTCTGGCTCATTCATACTGTTTAGCAGTCAGATTCCATTAGCTTTGAGGTGTTCCTTTTGATATACAGAAGCTCTTTGTAACAATGATCTAAGCTGTCTCTCTGATTTAGACAACCCTAGTGCCACAAATGCCAGCTAAAATAATTTGATTCCAGCCTTCCTCTCACCAGTCACTAATATGACATGCTTTGACACTGTTTGCCTTCATCTGTCAAAGATTCTTTGACATTTTGCTCCATATTGGATTATAGAGTGGCTTACTCTTGCTCTTAGATATTTAAGTTGTTATAGCAGAGAGGATCACTAAATTAATGTGGTCTGTCATAATAATAAAGTCTCAAAAAGAGCATAGAATAGTTGGGCAAATTGTACAAAACTTTATTCTCAAATGTCTTTGAGATAAAATAATTTGTCAGTGTTCTGAATCACTTCATTCACTTGTTGGTGAGTATTTATATGGGCAAAGCTATTGGCAAGCATTTGTAAGTATATGTATCTGGAAAAACATCTACGCTGGAACTGTTGTACATCTTCAAAAAATCTTTGTAGCTATGGGATACATTCAAATAAGCAAAAGAACATGGTAAAATTTTGGTGATTGATCACAGAGAAGAAATAGTAAAATGTAGATAACGAAGAATAAGATGCTGGATTAAATATATTTGCACAAGTAATTCCTTAATTTGGAAAATCAAACGCATTCATAAAGATAAAATCTGCTATCAGATCGTTCAATCTAATAGTAAGTAAAAAGTGCACTCACTTCTAATTTGAGTTTACGAAGGTCAGCTTGAATGTCATCTTATATAGGATATTCACAACGAGCTTGTACCGAAGGATAGAAGTTGTACAGTGAATAGACAAAACATTGTGCACATTTGTGTGCATCTGAAAGAAGGAAATAAATGGACACATTTAAAATTTTAAATGTGACTTGATTGGCGTGCAATCTGCAATAAACTCTTCTTGATAAGAACACAATGACCTAGTTTTCAAAACATAAATTGCAATAGAATTATGTTTGGTTTTTTCTAATAGGTGGCATCGAGTAGCTATTAGTGTGGAGAAAAAAAGTGTTACAATGATTGTTGACTGTAATAAAAAAACTACAAAACCACTTGAAAGAAGTGACAAAACAGTTGTGGACACCAATGGCATCACTGTCTTTGGAACCAGGATTCTGGATGAAGAAGTTTTTGAGGTAAAAATCAATAATGAAGAAATGGAATTGAGAGATTTTGTGTTGAGTGAAGTGCTTAATGCAAATCAGAATAAATTTTTTAGGGCAAATGCTGGTATAATGTAGAAACTTTGATTTATAGAACCTGTTAAGATAGGGTGAAATAGAAGTGAAACTGGGAAGTGTCTCTGTTGTTGGAAGACATGACACATTTTTCTGTTCTTTAGATTATGTTAGAAGATTATCTAGAAGGGGCTTGCTTTTTTTGTCTTACTGCCTAATATTGAGATATCTGAGATATTTAGGAGAATTAATCTGGGAAAGTTGAGTAACTGAATCACTTTAGTTCTGTCTCTATTAAACATTTACAGATATTTGTGCGTGCTGACAGTATTTGAGAGAGGGGGAGAACAATCTGGAAAGTTTGCTGTGTAATATGAATCTCTTATATTGTTTATCCCACTTATTACTCTTTCCAGTAACTGGAACATACTTTGGCAATAAGGACATATGTGTTTCCATCATTTACTGGCCAAGAAGTACATATAGGAAGGGTAAAATGCCTCTAAGGAAGTATGTGACTGCCAATCATGAGGCCTGTCTAGGTAGAATCCTTACATCAATGATTATTTTTACAGGCTAATAATGAAGCTTCTCTAAATCTAGACTGTTGAGTTCCTTTTATAATATTGTTTTACAACAGTCTAAACTGTCAAATTTAAATTAAAACTGAAAAAAAAGGATATACAGATTCAGTAGTTAACTTACTTCATATACAGAACATTGAGCTCCATAAATGTCCATCGTTGTAATCCTAGCTTTAAGGAAAACATGTGCTTGAGAAGCTGCATAAATATGAAGAGAGGAAATACGAATTTTGAGTGCAACACTGTGGCATTGTTATCTTTCATTTCCATGGACATGATGAAACAGGAGACTTTTGAATGGGGAAATTTCTGGGATGATTTAATGGGTCAAACGGTTTGGTATTCAGAGCCTAATTTACCTGCAGTCCCCAACAGAGTTTGCACATCTGAGGGATTTTATTTTCCATTTGACGATGAATTCCACAGATGCCTTGTCTGGGGTGGGACAAGGATCTTTGGTCTCCACATGGAATAATTACTTTCAATTTTCACTTGTATTTCTTTCCTAGCTCAGAAACCAAGTCCCACAATATGTGTATTTGACAATAAAATGTCAAAATATGTGCAATGTTAATATACATAAGTCAAAAGAATTCAGGAAAAAAATGCAATACAAGTAGATAAAGCGATATTTTTCTAGTGTTTTACAAGTGATTTTAGATTCTGTAGAAACTAAGGCAACAGGCTCTGGCTTGTTCGTGCAAAGTTTGTCACCATTTAAAAAATTGTCAAGGAGGGAAGTGCACAATGACTAAACACTGGTGTTTAGTCTGTTTTACTCAGTGCAATTGCTAAATAGAAAGACCTGTCTAAAGTTTCCGAGGTGATGAAATGTACATAGCTATTTGAAAATAAGTACAGTTGTTGATGATATGTGCATGAAAGGAGACATTTGTTTTAATCAATTGCATTAGGTAACGTGTTGAATAAGAGAAGCACGCTAGGGGCCTTTCATCTCTGAAGTTGTTGAGTATTATGATATTGTATCTGTCAAAAAAACTTTAAATATTAAATCCTCCAAAAAATTTATGTTAAAGAGAGATTAAGACCATTTCCATGGGAATAGAGAAGCAGCATAGACTATCTAAGGGGTAAATAAAATCATAGTTATGAAAATTTCCTGCTATGTCATTCTTCTATCACAAAGTTTATTAGCCACTCAGAAAGAAAGATGAAACTTTGAGTCATGACAAAGAGTAAGTGTTTTCAGGCAAAATAATTCCTGCCCTAGCACTTCCTCCTCAGTGATAATAAGGGAGAAGAGAATGGAAGGGATGAGGCAGAATGCAATTATTTTTTGGTTAGCAACTGTTGGAAGAGTCAGTAAGGTTAGATGAAGACATACTTAGCAAATTGAAATTGGTACTTAAAAATCAGAATTAGCAGATTAATTGAAGAAACCCAAAAAATAACCTTACATTTTTCTTGAATTCAAGCTTATGGGAAGTCAACACAGACATGAGGATATAACTTTAACAGATTTTGTGACAATGACTTAAATAAATGTACTTTACTCTGAGGGCTTTTGTCATGTGTTGGAAGGATTAAAAAGGAAACTAGTGATCCTATGTCAAATTTTTCACTGAAATCTCCTATATTGACATGGCAAGTCAGTGCTTCATTTCCAGCTGAGAACACTAAGAAAAAAGATGGCTTTAGAATCACAAAAAATCATAGAATAGAATCATAGAAGCATTTAGGTTGGAAAGGGCCTTTAAGATCGAGTCCAACCATTAACTTAAAACTGTCAAGTCCACCACTAAACCATGTCCCTAAGGACTACATCTACATGTCTTTTAAATACCTTCAGGGATGGTGACTCTACCACTTCCCTGGGCAGCTCGTTCCAATGTTTGACAACCCTTTCGGTGAAGAACTTTTTCCTAATAACCCCTGATGCAACTTCAGGCCATTTTGTCTTGTCCTATCACTTATTACTTGGGAGAAGAGACCAACACCCACCTCGCTACAACCTCCTTTCAGGTAGTTGTAGAAAGTGAGAAGGTCTCCCCTTAGCCTTGTTTTCTCCAAATTAAACAACCCCAGCTCCCTCAGCTGCTCCTCATGAAACTTGTTCTCTAGACCCTTCACCAGTTTCACTGCCCTTCTTTGGACACGCCAAGAAATTGTGCAGCTGTCTGTAAAGTCAGTTTACAGGCTGAGTTCTAACATTCAGCACTGAGAACATCAGCATTTCTATCATTTGTAATATCACTGTACATTTCTGTATTCCTTCAGTTATTAGGTTTTCCTACTTAACTGGTTGCACCCCTTTTCTCTTGCTTTATTCGGCGAACATTCAATTCAGTTACATTCTTCTAAGGCTGTTCTTGTAATTGCTGGGGGCTTAGATTTAGTCTGAAGTCTCTTACTGAAATTAGAAGCTTACAGTCTTTTCTTTTGAGATGATAGATTTCTGCTTTCTGTTTTACTGTACAGCCACCATGTACACTTATACCTATGTTCAGTTATTTGAATCTTTAGCTAGAAATGTGTGTGTCGAAATTAGGCAATTAGAATGTCCCTCAAAATTTAAACAAAGTACTGTGCCATATATGGTTTTAATGATGTGTCCTTCAAAGTCTGGCCAAGCAAAATACAATCTAGTTCTTTTTGAGTTTGTCTCATGTTTTTCTACTCTCCAAACAACATCCTTTTTGTTTCTTTAACAAGACTTTATGCATGCTTTAGCTACTGCTGCTACATATTCTAAAGTTTGTGGCTGTTCCCTGAAATCTGTCTCCTGCTTGTGAGTCTCCTGGTTCTGTCTTAAATGTTCTGTTTATCTCATTCATGGTAGCACGGAGCGATGTTTGGTGATGCCAGGGCTCTCCTTGGTACTACTTGTGTTGTGAACCCTGCTGTATCTTGAGATCAAAACAGGCATTGAAGAAACATGTAACACTATGTGTCTTATTCTGTGTTCAGGAAATTCCAGAAATGAACTTATTTAGCCATGACATTAGATTTAAGTGTTTAAGACTTACAACGGTTTAAGGCATACTTTCCATATGACATTTGATGCCTTTGTTAGCTTACATGTGGGAAGCACTTAAAAAGAAATATCTAAGTGCATAGTGACCTGTTGGCATTCACAGCATATTGTATCCATGCATCACAAAGGCTGTTTTATCTTGGGTAATAATGATGGCTTTAGTCATAGTAATGATTTGATCACAGGAACTGTGGAGCACTCTTCAGTCTCCTCCAAATGAATGAAAAGTGGAAATAATGAACCTGTAGATAAATATAATGAAATCTTAGGCTTCAGTGACCTACCAGTTGAAGATGCTAGGATTTCTTCTTGTCCTGAACTCCTTCATACAGCATAACTCAACCTTGCAAAAAGCAGTTGTATCAGTAGGGTAATTCATTCCCATTGAAAGCAGAGTTCAGCGCTGTCAGTGCTGTAAACAATTGGATACATCAAATATTCCTGTTCCCTTAGAGAGTACATCTAAACCTGTATGAATTCTTGTGTACACACATGAGTCAGAAATAGATGTTATTACATGACATTATCCTGACCACCTGGAAATTTGATTGTATCTTTGGAAAAAATAATTACTTCTTCAGTCATACTGCTCTAACAGATTTGCATGGACCGTTCATTTAGAATCCTCAGAATAAATATTACTCCTATAAGGATTAGTTCACACTTATTTTAAAACAGTGTTACATCACAGTGGATCAAATATTCTTCTTTGTTTCTAACTGTGGGGGTTTTTTTAGATTTCTAATACAACAAAATTTAATGAAATTAAATTCTTGGCTATTTCCTTTTCTTTTTCCCGTTCCTAATATTAACTTCTGTTTTCTAGGCTGTTCGCCCAGCTTTGTTCTGATTCTGATATTCTGACTATTGCTAACACATTGGTATGTTATAGTAGACTGGGAAATTTTAAATGCATACATTTTAATCAGTTTGACATCATTCCTTTGATGTAACTTTATGCTGATGATCATTAATTTCTGAGTAAGTAAGCATACTGGGTGTCCAGAGATCACATAGATCACCACTGAAAGAAGGAAAAGGCTGATTAGTTTCCTAAGAAAATGATAAATAACTACCTAATCTGCTATTCTTTTCTATTCAACAAACTTAATATTCCTTGGTAAGTTTCCCTATTGGTACTGTAGCTCAGAGGCATTTTTTAGTAGTGCTCTCAGAAAGATCTTCTGTTTTAGCTTTAAAGGCAAGAAAAAAAAATTATCTTAAGTATTTTCCAAATCTTGTGGGTGTTTTGTGTGTTTTATGTGAGGAAATTCTAATTTGGAGTTGCCTGCTGCTCATTCCCAAATGTAAGTGCTGATCTGAGATTTTATGTCATTGTGCTCATTTAATAGGGAAATCAATATGATATCACAAACAAG